CTCGGTCGGGGCGGGGTTTGAGGGAGGCTTTTTTTAGATTTCCTTTATTTTAAAGTCGGTTTTTCTTCTTTTGGGGTTTCCCTATATTTCCCTTTTTCAGTGCTTTTTTTTAAAGCTAGGATTTTAAATGAGCTTTGGGGGTTTGGGAAATGGTTTAATTAGAAGCACAGGGGGAAAAAACGAGACAAGCAAAACCCCTTATTTTTAACAAAAAAACCCTTTTAAAAACCCGATTTACAAACCCACAAGCATCTTAAAAACCCTACTTAAAAACGCATTAAATTAAGAAAAATATATTGGGAACTAAAAAGAAGAAAACATCGATTTAAACATAACATGGAAAATATTTTAAAACAAGCCTACCCTAAACCCAGCCGCCCCCGATGCAACTTGTGCCTAGGGGGAAGAAAATTCTACATTCTGAAAACAAAAAAAGTTAAACTAACAAAAGAAAGCTTTTTCACCTGCGACTTTCCGGAAATCTTTAAAGAATTTTAAAAAAATCGTATTAATATAGTTACCCCTTTTTTGAAAAACCACCATTTAATTCTGTTAGTCCTTTATGGAACTCCCATTTACACTTCAAAGATTGCTTTTCGCATAAACTAATTAGTAAGGAAAATTGTTTTTAAATGTGTTGTTTAAATTTAAAAATCCATATATTTAAATATTATTTAAAATATAATATTATTTTATTATTTAAAAATTTTAAAATAATATATTATTATATTTTAATAATATTTTATTTTCCAAAATATGGTAATTAAAGGGGAAATTTTTCACATAAAAAAAAATTTAAAACGTTAGGATTTTTTAGAAAAATGGCCTATAAAAACAACGTGTCAAATAAATTATTTGGCATCGTGAGATTATAAAAGATTCTTCATTTCTTATTACCCCTTTTGGGAAAATTTATTTTTTTCAGTGTGTTAATTTTTTAAAACTTTTGAAAGGCACCCAAACGAAAAACGTGTGTAAAAAATTGCGGAACATGCCCCCGGAATAAAGACGGGAAAAGTGGCACAAAAAAATTGGGGAATTTTTTTGCAAAAACGTTTGTTTATGTTGAAAAAAATTCTTTTCAATTTGGATGTGGACGTTTTTCTATCAAAAATCTCCCCGGGAACAGGTTTTAGTTCGTTTTTTGTAAAGCCAGCTAACGAAAATATCTCGCTTTTTACTTGTGAAAAATCGTTTTGATTTTTTAGTGTTTAAGATTATCGTTTGAACATGTGACAATTGTTTTTTATTTTAGATTTTTTTGTTTTTTTCCTTTTATTTTTTTACGATTATTTTTAATTTGTTAAAGGTGGGGTCTTTTGAAAGTAAACACTCAGTACATTCTTAAACATTTGTTTCATACAATTAAAATTTCCCGATTGGAAATTAATCGAGGTAAAAAATTGGGTCAGTCTGCCCCGACTAAACATTATCGTTACTATAAACAAATTATCCAAAAATTCTTCCCTTTAAATTTGTGTTAATATCCCCGGCAATTGATAAAGGAAAATTAACTAAAATTGCAAAAAATTTATAATTACTGGGGTTTTGTATGAAATTTCTTAAAATTTATAAAAGTTAAAAAAGCGAATGAAAGGAAAAAATATAATGTTTTTTAAGGAAAAATTCGTGCTTCCATGCCAAATTTACGTGTTATATGTTTAAAAAGGGGTTTATATATAATGTACGGCCCTGACAAAAAAATGGTTTGCCTTTCCCAAGTTAAAGATTAAAAGGGCTTTGATCATTTTGGAAAACTATAAGTTTTAAAAGTTCAAATAAACAACGGGTAAAATGGGTTTAAAATACACCCCGGCGATAATTTTATTTTTTGTTTTTTAGGCTTCCCAAAATTTAAAAACTGAAAATTTAAAAATCTGAAATTAAAATGTTCTTTTGCATGAATGATAAGAATGTTGGGCCGAAATGCTAGGGAAGTCAGGACCCCAAAAAAAAATCAATCTTTTTTCATATCTTTTTTCTTTTTCTCTTCTTTTTCTTATTTTTTTTCCTTCTTTTTTTCTTCTTCTTCTTCTTCTTTTTTCGTTCTTCCATCATTTTCTTCTATTATGTCTTCTTCTTGTTATTTCGAATGTACCAAAAATTAAAATAATAAATGCTGAAAAGTATAAAAACCTATTTTGTTGTTTTTTTATATTTTTAACAATTCTACAAACAAAACGTTTAGAAAATAGTTTTCATAATTGCAATTTCAAAAACCCCCAACACAGTCATGAACTTGATCAGTCGTGTTGTACTAAAAGTCCCACCCTCTCCAGCAAACGTATCCATGCATTTAAATTATCAGAATATTTTTAGGAATCGACCATTGTAGGTATCGTCAAAACATCTTTAAAAATGGACAAATTCACAAAACGTTTGAAAATGTCTAGAGAAAAGAATTAAAAAAACTCCACTAAGGGGCTAACCAAAACATAAAAAAATTTCTTATATTATCCGGGGCCCTTTAAAAAGAAAATAGTAACAAAAATCAAACTGGAATCGATTTTCGTGCATTTTTTAGACCCTTTTATTTAAAAGCGTTGCTACGTTTTTTTAAGTTATGGTCAAAACCGGGTGAGTGTTTCATTTAAATTTTTCCACAAAAAATTTATTTACACCCACATCAAATTAACATTTTACCGTTTTTTTAGCCTTCTGTCTTACCCCGGAGTCCCCTTTAATAAAAACACCCTTTCAACAGCAGTCTCTAAAAAATCTAATCTTTTTAAAGATAAAACCTTTTTTTTTGTAAGTTAAACATTATAATGATAGATTATTCTTTTTCCCCGTTTGCACAATACATGGGCATTTAGAAAAAATACCTTTAGTTAAATTACTTTCTTTTTTTTTTTTTCCACTTTTGTTTATCAATAAAAATCAATCTTTAAAGTTGAAAAAATTTTCCTGTGATTATATTTAGTGTCATTTTTATTGGTTTAATGACCTTTTAGAAAACAAAAACCTTTATAAGGTAACCGCATTTTTATATATTTTAACTAACTTTTTAAAAAAAAATAGTTTGGTTATATTCTAAATATAAAAGATCTTACAAAGGTATGCAATCGTATTGTTTTTTTTTTTGTAAATTTTGTAATTAAACTATTGATTCGCCTGCACAATCATTTAAAATAATTATATCCGCCAAAGTGCTATGGGTTTTAATAATTTTCATTTGCCTTCAAATAAAATTTTTGGGTGGCAAAAAAGGTTTTTTCAAATTTTCTATTTTAATAACATAATGTTTTTTTCTGACGGGGTTCAAAAACCACCACCTAAAAAAAACATAAATATGTTATTTTTTAATATAAGTTTTTAAACCTTTAATAAAAAAAAATTTTTTAAATTTTTTTTGGTGTAAAGTAAATTGTTTTTCTTTGATATAAAAAATGTTTTGGTTCTTTTTTATCAATTTTTTAAAGGTTTAAAAATTTGGAAAATTTAACCGTTTTTTACTTGCTTTTTTGGGTTTTCCAAAATGTTTTATCCGTAACCCTTTAAATTTTTTAAACCACAAACTTTTAAATTTGGAATATTTAAAATTTACCCTTAAACCCCGATTTTAAAATTGGTTTGCTAAATTTAACATTTGGGGTTTTATTTTTGGGTTTTTTAAAGGCTGTTGTGACCTTTTTAACCTTGTTTTTTAAAAAAACAGACAAAAAAAATGTGAAAAAAACTATAAAAAAAGACTGCTAAAAAAAATTTTCCAAAAAATTTTTATCTAGAAAAAAGCCTATTTTTTTGTTATTTCGGTCTACAAAAAAACACGGGAAAAGGAATAAAATGAATTAAAAACGAGGGGAACACATAGGTACATGTAAAAAAGAACGGGTATTTCGTGCGGGTTTTCGGTCTGTTTAATAAGTTAAAATTTAAATTAAAAAAATATTAAAAAAGGAATAAAAGCTTTAGTAAAATATTCAAATTTTCATTACGAACTTAAACGTTTTACCGCAAGATATTTTAAAACTTCGTAGACCTTAGTTATGGTAGTTACCCAATGGTCATCTGATCAATCTGCTCCAGGCAAACGGGGTTTTGTGAAAAATTGTGATATTTAAATTTTGATGAAAATTTCTGTTAATGGCTGTATTTGGGTTTTTAAAAATTTCGACCAAAAAAGGGCATTTTTAAAAATGTTTTAAAATGTTTTATAAATTCACCAAATAAAACCCTCTACCCTAATTTGCGAAATTTATTTTGATAAACTAAGTATTTTAAAAACTTTTTAAATTGCCAAAAGTAATTTTCTGTTTTTTTTGAGAGTTTTACATAAAATTCATTTTATTTTTTTTTTTGGGTTTGAGGAAGCATTTTTTTTCGAGAACTATTCTGAAAAAAAAAATTTTTTTACGAATTTTTCTTTTTGTTGTGTTGTTTCTGAAAGCTGAAAACGTTCTTTGAACCAAAAGATTTAGCTTTGGTGCAATGATTTTTAAGGAAAAAGGGGATCTTTTTACAAAAAACACCGGGGTTTAAAAACTTAAGAAAAATAAATTAAATGATAGAAATTTAAAAAAGTGATTTAAAGTTAAAACGTATTGTTATACCAAAGTGTTAAAAATAAAATGTTTTTTTTATTTGGGTTTTTTGGTTCGTTTTCAAAAAATGGTTTAAAAAAAGTTTAAACAATTTTTTTTTGTATTAATTTATCGTCTTTTTTGCAAACGTTCGGGGTTAGTAAACCCCCCAAAGGAAGTTAAAAATTTTAAAGTAAAAAAAAAGGGGTTAAATTAAGTAAAACTTAATTCACATGGGAATAATTAAAAATTTACGAACGTTTTTTTCATTTGTATGTCTTTTTTTTTTTTTTTTGGGGTTTTTTATTGTTTTTTTTAAATTTTTTGCCCCACAAAAAGGGGCATATGCGTTGCATTGTCGTCCCTCCCTCGTCTGTCCGCCCTAGAGCCCTACGTCCCAACTTTGAACGCAACTCCTCTTAAAAGGGGGGCAGATTTTTTCCTAAACTTCCGGGAAAGAAAAACCCTTTAAGTGAGATGGAGTAAGAAGGGAATTTCGCTGCGAAAAAAACAAAATTTTGGCCTTTGTTTATTTTTCCAAACTATGTAGAATTTTGAGAACGCAATTTTCTTCCGATTGCGATTTTTCCCCTTTAAAAACCCGGGTGAAGACCTTAATGTTAATGGCAGTAAAAAAAAGGATTTTTGGCGACCAATTTAAAAGAAAAATTTGGGCCTTTTTTTTTTTTTTACTATAACCCTTTTATTTGGGCGTGGGGATCCGTGCTTTTTGGGGTTGTTTTTTTTTGGGGGGTTTTTTTTCATTTCCCCTTGAAATTTTTTTTGTCGGAAATTTGGTTTTTTTTAAAATTTATTTTGTCAATGTTTAAAAATTTTATTGTTTTTCAGTGTCCGGTTTTGGTCCAGGGTCGAGATAAGGGGGAAGGTAAAATTACGGGTTGCTACTGGGAAGGGGACGTTTTATGTGACAGACGTGGGGGGGGAAGAAGAAAAAAACTCCCAACTGCGGGCTCTTAAATTTTATCATATTTTATTTTATTTATTTTTTCCATTAATTTCCGTTCCCTCGTTCTCCCATGTCCTTTTTAAACAGTTTTAAATAAAATTTACGTTAAAAAGACTCTGCATGCCCTGTTTTCATGCCGAACAAATCAGTGCCCTTTTTACAAAAAAACATATAGGTTAAAAAAATCTATTTTATAGTGTTTTACTTTTTAAATCTAGGCATCAACGAGACGAAAAGTGGGACAAAACCCATGTTTTGCAACAACTTTTGGCGTACAGAATTCGTTTAATCTGTCTTTTTTTTATTTGTTGTTTTTTTTAGCACCATATGGTTTATCCCCTCTTTTTTCTATTTTGGAATTCATTTTTTTCCTTTGATTTGTTTGAGCTTCCCCTTTTTTTTGGAAAAATTTTTATTTTTTTTTTTTAATTTTCGTGTTAAAAAAAAATTTTTTTCACAACTATAAAAACATTCCGGGTGAGTATACATACTAGCCCAAAATTGTTGCCACGTGACAGGAAAGAAGGCTCAACGTGATGACTCTTTGGGAACCTGCTTTGTCGTTTTCGAAATTCGTTAGAAAAATTCTCGTGTGAGGGGAGAAACACAGGGGTTTCTACACGGAATAGATATATATACATGAAGTGATATAAGGTTTAGCTATCCAAGGTTACAAAGTCCCGCCTTTTTAGTGTTGAGTGAGGACAAGGAGGGGTGTGTTATGTTATATCAGACGAAACGGCGGGGATTTAAGCATTATGTGATAGGTCAATTGCAACAAGTAGCCAAACGGTTTTATGATATTCATGTAACTATAACTGTTATAGAAGAGGAATTAATTGACAGAAAAACTCATGTGAAATTCAGACTGGATTTTGACAATTCACCATATGTTCCGAAGTATGCGCCAAAACTACACTCAGGGAATCAAAACTTCTCAAGTATTACGGGTGATACATTCCTAAAAGTAAGTAATCATTTTTCAGTTCTATTTAAATTAAATGTGAAAGGCCATTTTGATTGGTCCGCTTAGTTTTTAGATAAACGAAATATAAAATGGCATATATTTATATATAAGGGAATATTTTTTGTGGAGATCATCAATTTTTCCTTATTATAGCTCGATTGTGTTGAAAGATGTGTGCTTATTTAATAAGTCAGTATTTACTCAATATAAGTACCCTTTATCTTATAAACATCTGATCTACCTAATAATTATTAAAATATTTAGGATCGTTTAATTCCACAGTTAAACATAAATTATGCTCATTTTTTGGGTAAAATACTTTCAAAATATTAAAAGCAAAACTGCCAGTTTTTTAATAAGACTATGCATTCATACTGTGTTATCATATGCCGTGTAGAGTATAAAACATAACATATCTTCTCTGTGTACATTCATATGAAAACAAAAGATTGTATAGCAATTATCAGTATATTCAAATATCAAATTTGAGCAAACTACATTTTAATACCGAAATTTATTATCTGAATTTATCACTGACTCTCCCTCATATATCTAAATATTGTTAATTTTAAGGCACCATTTGAAATATTTTTATCAACAAATTGACTTCAAATTGATTTTCATATAGATCACGTCAGTCAAAAGTCATATCAAAAGTTTTTTCTTTACAAAAAATTGTTCAGCTTTGTGATGATAAGCAAATAAAAATTGCTGATTGACTTGATATGTTGAAATAAATTAAAGGTATCTTATCTGTTTATCCACCTGTGTTGTAAGAATTAAGGAAATGCTTTGAAAATGTGCATATAATCGTACAAGGGCGAGACATCCTGTCATATCTATATCTCTTGCTTGATAAGATATGACGGCATCTACAACTATTGGGATCTGTTGCGTAAAGCTGGTTCTAAACAGCATGTTAAAAGGTGTAATTTCGTGAATTAAAATAATTGTTTAAAGTCAATGCCTTCTTCAACACAATGTTTGGTCAGTTCAGTAACTTTAAATACAAATATTTGAAGGACAATTATGTTCCGTTTTGTTGGCATCGTTAAAATTTAAGTAAAACCTGACGAATTTGGCAAAGACATTGTATACATGTACGACTGATGAATATTTGATTGTAATCATGGTTCAATAAAAAAATTGCAAAGATGTCCAAAAAATAACGTTTGAGTAGTTTTTGAGGTTTGATTGACAGCTAATGTTTTAAGGTTTGCAAAATCAGCTATCCTTATTTATAGTTTAAATAAATCTTAAAATGAATCTTAACGTCATTTGATTAATTGGCCACTGGACGGCAAAAATATTTCCATTTTCAAGTTGGCTTTGTTTAGCATTTGTTTTAATTGAGCGATATGTGAGGATCAAAATGCTTCTTTCATACCTGTCTAATTTCAATGGCCTGTACAGCAGTGAATTTATTCCAAGATCGTAAAATGAAATGATTTATGGCCGGATCATCTGGAAGATGCTTCTAACTAGTGCTGCAAATTCATAGGGTAAAATGACACCGAAGTGGTCTATGTCAGCCAACAGCAAGTTTTATATACCAAATTGTTCGTCTTGGTTTGTAGTTTCCGGAATGAATATTCATTTGGTCCAAGTCCGATGCGTAGCTTAAAAATCCAAGATGGCGTCAAAGATGGCCGCCAAATCCTTAAATAATCTAGAATATTAATATTTGCTCATATTTGTTTCCGCTTTTGTATTTCAAGTGAAATTTTTGAAAGGAAGATATTATTTAAAGCGTTTTATACGAAGAGATTTAATTTTATTTGAGAAAACAGATTGCTTTTTGCTTTTTTTATACGTAATTTAGCAAAATAATGCTAAACATATGGGTTTTTGCTATGATACTCTTGTCTTAGCTTAAACAGAGAAATATTTATTACTTATTGTGTTATTCCACTATTGTAATGTATTCATGAGAGTAATGCTTTAATGCATTCATATCATATCTTAAGAAATCTTTCTTTGTAATTATGCAGTAAGACATATAAAATGAGAGGCGGTACATTAAAATAGTTTTTCAATGTAAGGTTGTAACTGGTACTTATTTGTTCTACATCAATTATTTCCCCAAATTTTGTGTTTCTGTCAAATTATAGCTTCTTTAGTGCAGTCCATGTAACTGATTAACATAATAAACCAGGAATATGACAAGTTTCTTCTGGTTATTTAATGAATTATTGTTCAAATCGTACCCCACCCACTATGAATAAAACTCTAAAGAAACTCTGACCCCTCGATTATACTGATTATATGGAATGACAATATTTACGTAAGTTAATAAACATAAAGTGATTTTCAAAGTGTGATACTATTACAGGTATCCTGTCAGATCTAAAAATCTGTTCAAAAATGTGTTACTAATTTAATAAGCATGATTTTGTTGTAAGTTCACCTAAGGAATTGAAAAGTACAATATTATGTATGCAAAACAACCTCTGCTCATTTATTTATATGTTACCCCTCGATTATACTGATTATATGGAATGACAATATTTACGTAAGTTAATAAACATAAAGTGATTTTCAAAGTGTGATACTATTACAGGTATCCTGTCAGATCTAAAAATCTGTTCAAAAATGTGTTACTAATTTAATAAGCATGATTTTGTTGTAAGTTCACCTAAGGAATTGAAAAGTACAATATTATGTATGCAAAACAACCTCTGCTCATTTATTTATATGTTACACACCTTTTTATGTCAAATGAAATGTAATTTATTTTTTTAAAGTTTCTTAAATTGACAAAATAGTCATTTAAAAAGTTTGATATTTTATCTACATAGATCATTACTCTGTTGACCTTCGGTTTCATGAACATGCATAGTAGTCGGATAAAACATATTGTTTATATGAAAATCGTTCTTAAATTGGCATTAAAATTGTGTTTGTGCTATTTTAATCTTTTCTATTTGACCTTTTTCGAGTTGTGTGGTTCTAGTATTTCTTTTAAAAGCTGCATGCCTCCAGATGACCCAAAATATTTCAAGAAAATTAAACTTGGAAAAACCATGATAAAACTTTAAGAAAAGTAAACAAATTAAAGATTCAAGTGATAATTTATATCTTATGTGCAATTTATTTTGTATTTTATAGTATTTATCACTATACTTCTACTGCGTTACTAACGCAATAGGGGCTATTTATGCATATGGAATTAAGTGCCTATTTTTAATTCGTCAAGTACTTTCTTTGTCCATTTCACAATATTTTACCTTTAAATACATTTTTAAAATTTTCATGAAAATAAGGCTGAATCTGGAGGTGTGCTGCTTTAAATAATGTATAATAACCCTTTGGATAAATAGTGTATAATAAGCCTTTGGATATGTTACCTGCTTTTAAAGATTATATTTTGACCTATGATCCCGTTATATAAATCCATTTTATTTAGTTTCGCCCATTGTTCTCTATTTCTTGTGGACAATATGTTGTATGTCGTGAAATTGCACGAACATTTTACATTGAAGATACCATGATCACTTTCGTATGAATACATCTGTGGACATGTCACAACTGTGGATATGTCTTCACTTCTTTTAAAAGTGTACCAGTTTATGTAAAATTGAGAATTCTGCTTAAGCCGGTGCTAGAGGGTGTGGATGGTAGGTAACTTGCAATTACCACTACCGGTATGTTCCTATATGACGAAACAGTGTAAATAAAATAAAACCCCGCCAAGTAAAATTCTAACAATTGTTATGGTTACATTAGATGAAATAAATAAAAAAATACATACATGATCGTGTAAATATGTACAATTAAGGTACAGCCTAATTACCATAACCAAAGTACTCGATGCCTTAAAGGAAGGCAGAGCAACAAGAACATCACTTACCAAGACAGAAGACGAAATTAAAACAATTAAGAACGCACAAAACGTCAAAAACGAAAATAATGCAGGCTCGGTTTGATTGAGCCTGTTCACGAACGGCACTGTCAAGTGCAAACTACAGTACACGCCCCTAGCACCGAATTAAGCAGAATTCAACATTTAATCATCGTTACGGTGAGTTTTTTGATTTAGAAACAACCGCAGACGCGCTTATAAAGTGGTTATCATATGGAACACGTAAGTGTCTTTCCATAAAAAACAGCGTATGGTCCCCAAGTACAAGAATGTGTGTGCCCTAAACAAGAAAACAATGAGCGGAACTAAATAACATGGAACTTTGAAAGGGGATCAGAGGGTATGAAGCCTGCATGCCACAGATAAGCTGTCATTTCCACATAAATCAGGCCTGCTTATACCTAGACGTAAAAGAGTTTTTAAAGTACAATTAAATTTTAAATATATCTGAATTACGACGACAGGACTTTGTAAAATATTTACGTAATTTATGATAGCGATAGCCTTGTTTACGTTCACTTAGATATATTTAAGATTTCACTTGATCAAATTTGATTATTCATGTTAAGGATATCATCTAGGTAGCGGTAAGTGCTATTTAATGCAACGTATAGCTTCCGGTTGTGGAATAGGAGAGAGACTTAACATAAAATCCCTCTAGTAACAATATAAAAGTAAATAAAGTAAACTAACATGTCATTGACATTATGATTGTAAAAATCAGGAAAAGAGAAGATCCTTTGAGAGCAATTAAACATGGCAAAGTTGATAATTCAAACTCAGTTTGATGGGGTCTGTTCATGAGACACCATATCTCAAGTCTCTTAGTACCGATTAAGTAGTATCCAATCCTCAACTATAAAAGTTTTGCAATCAATGATCCCGAAAGACAAAGTCTTCCGGTTAGCTCAATAGGTAGAGCGTTGGACTGTGAATCGGGCAACACGTGTTTGATTCCCGGACGGGGCAGGTCACTTTTGTTGTGATTGATCATGAAATAGTTTCTACGATTATTCGCACTGTACCACTGCTCTGCTATGTACTAAAGTTTCAGTTCCTTGCGAAAGTGAGGGCAACTAGAACTGGTAAACTGCTTGACAGCCTGCCCAGGAACGATTCGGTGGCTGAACTGTGCTCT